GAAGAGACAATAATCAGTTTGAATGAGCAGAATCATCAGATCGATTGCTTCGGGGTGGGAACTCACTTGGTCACATGCCAGAGACAACCTGCTCTTGGTTGTGTGTACAAAATGGTGGAAATTAATGATCAACCGAGAATTAAACTTAGTCAGGAAGTGGATAAGGTCACAATACCAGGGAGAAAGAATGCTTATAGACTCTATGGAGCTGATGGACATGCGTTGATCGATCTTTTGCAAAGATCCACTGAGCCTGCACCTCAGGTTGGGAGCAGAGTCCTGTGCAGGCATCCTTTTCAGGAATCCAAGAGGGCCTATGTCATTCCTACCAGAGTTGAGACTTTACACAGGGTAAAATTATTTGAAATATTATATAAAAAAATTTATCAAATGTAAAAAATATTTTTTTACGCTTTGACATATTTGGAATAATTATGTAAAATATCATTAATTATTATCTTTTTCTCTCAATATTGAAGATATACTGGAAGAATGGAAAAGTCGTCCTTCCAATCCCCACTCTCCAAAAGGCAAGGAGTCGTGTACAAGAATCACTGAAAACTTTGAGAACTGATATCAAACGCAGTCTAAATCCGACCCCGTACAAGGTAACAATTCATTGCAAAATTTGAAATATTTTTATGGACATTCCGTCACAATTGTTAAATATCATTGACAGGTGGCAGTCAGTGATGATTTATACACCTACATCCATGATCTGTGGGTTCAGAATGCCCCGATTGGTGAACTGTCATGAAAGAGTTGTCGAATTGAAGCAGTCGAATACTTCAAACCCACGATTTTTGTAAAAATTGGAGTAAAATATCGACACGAGTAAGAATATTCGATTACATAAATATCTCCAATAATTATTTGTGCTCCATTTTTATGGGTAATTTTGGTATTTCAAGAGCCAAAAGTTGTATTGTAGCCTCCGAAATGGAAAAACTAGTGGAGGAAGTACAAAATGTATGTGAAAATTAGAAACGAAACTTCGATAATCACGTGATTTCTAAATGCATAATCAATGTAAATCAAATTTTTCTGAGAGAAATCATTTTCCGACCTAAAACGATATTTTGAGATAGTAGCTGCCTATACATATGCACAGAATGAATAATAGAATACAATTGGATAATGCGAGAATCGTTACAATATGATTAATCAGACTAGAGGTTAACCTGGATTGGACACAGATTTTTCAATCTAGAGGCTTTATCGAGTTTCCCTCAACAGGGACATACATTTTGTTAATCAAGAGAGGAATTGCTGATTATGTAGCCAAGTGGTATGAGGAGAAAAAACTATGACTTCAACGAAGTCTACAGAAATACTTTTGCTTCTGAAGTGATTCTCAGAGTTGATTTATGGTCGCTTGAAAATATTGCATAAAAAATATGATGCAGGTCTTCTTTTTATTATTTCTTTTCCATTACCACTTCGCTACTCAATTCGCATATTTCAGTCACAAATATATTCATACTGCATATGTAGATAATTGTATTATCAGCACCAATTCATAAAAAATTTACGGTACAAAAACTAGAAAAAGTGAACCAATGGATTATTTCCTTCTTCAGAAAAACGAAAATGTTTAATATGTGGTATTGAAAA